GACTTCATTCAAAACATTCAAAACATCAGAAAATCAAGTAGTGTGTACCTCTTGTACTGATTTGTGTGTTGCCACTTTTCTCTTACAGGTTGCAGAAAGGTGTGCATCTAACTAAGAAGGTAGACTACCCTCCATATGGACTGCTCAGACCCCAAACCTTTGACAGTTTGGTTAGTACAAATTCTTTCTAGTGCAGTTTAGTTGCAGGTGGAGGAAACCCTGGGAAAAGCACTTCTTAATATGTCCAGCAAAACTATACATGTTAAGATTTTATCCAAAAGTTAATTTCAGTGTAGGTTGTTCAAAAGCTGATATTTTGATATGTGCTTATTCAGAAAAGTACTTTCAATACAGTTAGCTGTGCTAATGGAGAATTATTAAGATGTATGAATCAAATGACCACAGTGAAATGTGAAAGGATTCACTTGTAGTGACAAACCCACAGAGAATAACCAATTGAACGCAGTTCCTGTCAGCCTTATGTTGCGTTTTAGCCTCTTTTAGCTCATTGTTTTTGGTTTGATGGAGCACCTGCAGGAGGTAGCAGGTTTCAGGAAATAAGAAAAGCTCTGATAAACCCATTGTTCAATATCTTCCCAGAACCAAATAGCAGACTGACAACAATAGTGAGTAGCTAATAGATCATAGTGGAGAATTTAGCACTTACAATGCTAGATTTTCTGAGGAGTTGATAGAGGCTGGCTAAAAGTGAATATTGGACTTCAGTTAATCAGATGGACAAAAGCACAACTCCAAGTGATAAAATGTTGCTTATTGTCTGCCGGATGTGTAACTAGATACCCAATTGCTAACACATTCACAATAACAACTTTATAATGGCAGATGTGCTTACATTTTGTTCATGAAGAATCACCATAAAGAGAATTACTGCAGCTTTGAACTAGTTGTTACAGTAACCTTGCTGCATGTGTGTCACACCCACAAGGACAAATGCGCCTGTTCTTTCAGCACTGTTGGAACTTACACGTACAGTACAGGTGCATGCCGCACAGTGAATGTCAACTGGATGTGGATGAATAGCACTAACCTTCTCATGTCCTCTCTGCCTCTGGGGGTGTTCCAGCCTGGGGACAAGAAGCTGGCCCATAGTGCCCAGATGTACCATTACCAGCACCAGAAGCAGCAGATGCTGTCCCTGGAGAAGTGAGTCATCCTCCTTGCCCAGATATGCCCTGTCACCTGCCCCCTTGTCTGTTGTCCCTTTCTGCCCTCTCTGCCTTGTGAATGTGTGCTGTCTTCTGAATATTTTGTGACTCTTTGTGTGATGTGTGTGTGACATGTCTTCAGACACAGGAATGAGCCAAAAGTTCCTGACTCAGGAGCATCAACAGATGAGGAGAATGAGGATGGCGATTTCACAGTGTATGAATGTCCTGGTTTGGCACCTGTGAGTAAACTTATCTCCACTTTTATACTGTGTATATCATTAGAACATAATCCTCCACAATGCTGAATCATGTAGGAAGCCATTAACTAGACTAAAGAATAAAATTATGGCAAAGGACCGAATACCATTAATTTTAATATAATATTAATTCAAGCCAAAGAGAGATTTTTACATATTAACAGTGGTTCAAATGTGCAATGTGAAACATGTTTCTCATAGTGACAGACACACGTATCCCTTTTTGACCAACACGAACTAAGAGCTAGTTCTGAGCTGGTGCTACAGCCAGTTTGGAGCTGGTTCAACTTGGGAACCAGTTTGCTTTTCCATGGGCTATAGCGAGCCAACACAGGGCCACTTAATTACGCCATTGTATACATCTGAATATGCCTCTGCTTTCCCAGCAACACTAGTGACTGATTTCACTTATTTTGTCCAGAGGGTGTGCTACCAAATATTAAGTTGAGGCTGTCAATAATTCTGTCCAGTCCATTTTTGGAGTTCTGTGTGGAATGGATCAGATTTAGCTTTTTTCCTCTGCTTTTTGTGTTGTTCCAATGCAAAACAAAAGAAATAAACATGAGAATACCAAAGACTTTCTGATTGCAACAGTTTACTGGGAGAAGTGATGTGTTATCTGACAGAAATGCAGGGGTGCCAGTATTTTTGGCCATGACTGTAGATACAGTATACAAAATCAAATTTCAATGTGCAGTCTGAACATAATCATCTCTGTTAAAGAATTTTCTCCCCTCTATCTCCTTTAGACAGGGGAGATGGAAGTGAAGAACCCGCTGTTTGATGACTCCACCCTTTACCTTCAGAAATTCCACAAGTAACCCAGGACATTCAGTTTTCACTCTTAAATGCAGCACTTGTGTGTACACATAGCTGAATTTACACACATACCCACACTCTACATACACTGCTATGCTCTGTGCAACCCTTTTAATGGACAGGATGGAAAGTGTAAAGTACTTGGGGGAGGAAAAGGAGTGAGGTGTTCGCGGACATTTAAAGGATGTCGGGGCCTGGTTTCTTGTTTAAAGCAGGACTGAATCTGGGACCAATGTCTCCCATTCTACAGCTGCATTCTGTTCTTTTTTTATGTCATCTCTCCCTTTTTCCTGTTTTTGTTTATAAAATGACATTTAATCAATGTCTAAGAGTTCAAATTGACTTCAGTCAGGTATAGTAGCAGACAAGCATATTGAATATAATATCTTTTGTTGACAGAACAGAGTTCAGTGCCCGAACAGTTTACTGATGACAGTATAAGTTAATTAATAGGTTTCCATGAATATCCTTCTTTATTCATCAGTAAATACTCCTTAATTCATTGAGTTCTCACTGAAGCATTGGTTTTATTTTATTTTACTCATTTTGTTTTTAAGAAGAAATGTGATTTTAATATTTCACAAACACACCTCCATGCAGCAACTTGATCTGTATCAGTATGTTATGTAGCCGTTGTGTTCTCAGTCTCGTTGCTCTATGCATGACTTGATGATGCTGTGTATGAAACCTGAGTCAATATGCATTTACAGTTCTTACAAGTTCCTTGAGCAAACTTGCTAATGATAAATATATAGATATATATAAAACTTGAATAATTTCAAAGGAATTTGAAACTTCTTTATCTAGAACTCTGAAACAGAGCGAGTCCATCCTATATATATGGTATCTGAATAACATGGCTTGTCCCCATGGTTGTGACATGTTTAGAGCTGCTAATGTATACAGGAAAGAGATCTTACCTCTTACTCAATATGTTCGTATACATCTTCCTCTAGATTCCTGAGTGCTGTGTCAAATACTGAACTGTTTGGCTCCTTATTATTGACTATATTTGCAGGATTCCTACACATGTTCCTTTCAGAGTGGTGATGTCCAGGTTATGAAAACATATTTACCCATTATATGTGTTGTGCATAAAAGCTTTGAGAAGCAAATGTTCTGCTTTTGTAGATTAAGGGAAAAGCAGAGGGCGGCATTGTGGCACAGTGGTTGGCGCCGTCGCCTCACAGCAAGAAGGTTCCAGGTTCTGTGCGATTGTTTGTCTTCATGTCTCTCCTGTGATAGACTCCACCTGTCCAGGGTGTACCCTGCCTCAGTGTCAGCTGGGATTGCCCCTTTTATTATGACAAGACATATTGTCAGAAAACTAACTGGTATTATAAATATCAAAAACATTGATCCATACAGTAGACAATATTTAAATATAATTGAGAGTATTTCAGAGGACAGTATAATATTACATAGCTCAAGATTTGTTAGAGGAAAAAAATGTAAGAAATATAGAAGCTGCAAATTCTAAAATTAAACTTACTAGAAATAAATCCAAACATGCTTAGACTACGCAGGCATGGCAACCCTGGCCAGAACCCAGACAGCAGCAATGGATTAGTGTCCTCTGATTTCCAGGTTTCAACCAATCAGGTGTATCAGTTTTCTGGCCTTTTGAGATATTGTGCAGTACTGGTTGGGAAAATTCTGTCACTATGAAAATGATGACAAAAAAGATCCAGTGTTCCCAGTTTTTGTTAGAATATGGCTACAATTGTGACATTTCATTTTTAGGTTGTTACATTCAGTTTCATTGTGACAGCGGTCTTTTTCATTATGGTAATTATATACTGTCAGTAATAACATGAAAATAAAATTCTGACTTTTACATTGGCTTTTACAATACATAAGTCAGACTCTAATGAAAACTAACATTTCTGTTTGATTTAATAATTTTAAACGTTGTCTCTGGACCTCTGTAATGCCGTAGGTGGATATGAGGAATGCACCAGTCTAACTCTGTCCTCCCTGATACCAGATCGATGGCCTGAATGAACATAACTAATAGTAACACTGTATTTCAGATTTTTGAATGATGGTATCAGCACTGTGACAGGTTGGATTTGTGCATCCTTAATGAATATTCTCTGCTTTTTCCTGAACGTGATCTGGCATAAATATTGTATAGGAGTGGATGTGCACAACTACCTTCCTGTGTTTAGTATTGCCCCACTGCATAGATCATAGATTACATTATACAGCAAGGATGATTCTTCAGCTGCTGCATCAGATGTTTGACAGGGACACTGGATGTAACCGTGGCCTCTCGCTGTTGTCTCTCAGGAAAGCCGCTCTCTGTGGCTCCTCTGTTCAGCCTGCTCCTACTCTCTCAGCCTCTCAGCTCTCCCATGGCGGAGTAGCACATTAAACTCTACTTGACCTGCACACATACACATAAATGAGGGCCAGTATGTTCAATGGAATATATGCGGCAGATACCGGGAAGTATTAACACTTGAGATCTTTAACTGTGTTGTAAAGACTGTTTTATTCAAACCCGCTGAGCTTGGAGAACAAAGTGAATAAAATGGTTTTGGTGGAGGAGTGAGGGACTGCCGGAACGGATACAATTCTCATGTTAGCCCTTCTTTTCCTGCACCAGTGCTGAGAGCTAAACAAACGCAGAACTGGTTGCATGATGAGTGAGTGTGAAGGAACTCCAGAACAACTACCTAGGCTAGTTCTCTTTGATACAGACTGTTTTCAGACTACATATAGTCGGGTTTTTGCCACCATGTTTAGCATGCATATGGATATACCAGAGCTGAAATGAATAAATATTTATATAACCTGAAGTGAAATGTGGTTTATTGTGTAGTGTCTTTTTTTCAAAAACTAAACACTAATCACATTGTAAAAGGTTTGGGAAACACTTCAATCATATTTTAAAGGGTCCATTTAGCCCAAATTTTCCGATAAACTACAACACACTGGACATGGGGACTATTCCTTTGGTAGAAAGTAGTTCCAAAACAAACAATAGACAGCATATTGAAGAAACTAGGGCATTTCTTCTAGAAAGACTATTTGCATTTTAGTGTAATTTTTTGTACTGGGAGCACCCCAAATTAAATTCCATTCCTATTGGATTGAACGCAGGAATCACAGACAAATCTGCAAGGCGAGATACTTCTAGAAGGAACTGAGAAAGTTGTTTTGATTATTTGGATGAACCAGTGATTTATGCTAAATTTATTTATCTTTACATTTAGCAACAAATTATTGCACATAAATGAATGTAGTGCTTTGTTACTGAGATTCCTTAAGATGTGTCTTAGAGGTTAAAAGACAACAATCACCTGAGAGCTTGTTTCATGGACTGAACATGGAAAAGAGCACAGTGGTGAAGAAAGACGACTGCTGGTACAGTGCTGGGCTAGAATGGACAATCAGACACAACTACTCATAAATAGAACATAAAGACATATAAACAGTACTAAATATTCTCCAATGCTACGTGTCCAGCATTTGTAATTTTATTTTTCTTTACTGATACTGGTCTCTAGTATTTATCAGTGGTGGTGGAAGAGCTGAGATGTTTCAAGTTGCAGTACCATGATGGACAAACACTGTAACAAGTTAATGTATTGCAGTCAAAATTTTACTTAAAACAGGACAGTAGACAGAAGTTTGTAGAGACTAGAGGACCCCTGATTTAATCCTGTACGCTATATAAAGCAGGCCCGTTGCTATGTACATGCTCGTCACACACGTGCATAGGGCACTTGAGAAGAAAATAAAAGGGAGACATTTCAAGATGAAGCACTGTTTGAAGGTAACGTATATTTGAAAACGTTGTTCAATACAATCAGGAGTTAAATCGGGTCAGAGCCCACTGGAGCTGCCATTTAAATGTCAGGAGGCAGAGCTCAGCTCCATCTCCTTCAGTTTCACAGCCTTTTAAAGCTAAGACTTTTCAGACTCTGCCTCACTCTGACAAAAGAAACCACAAGGACTCTGATATAAAGTGAAAGGGCAAGGTTGTCACAAGAAGGAAAGCATTATCAGCCCTTCAGAGGGCTTTTAAATGGGTGCCAATACTGACAGAAATAGTCAAATTCTACAACTTGAACCATGGACCCTAAAATATGATTGCATCTTGACCAGCTGCATCACTGTCTGGTATGGCAGCACTACTGCTAAGGACCGCAAGCGCCTGCAGAGGGTGGTAAAGACTGCGGAGAAGATCACCAGGACTCCACTGCCCTCTCTCCAGAGCATTTACCACCGCAGGGTGCATAGGAAAGCTGCCTCCATCCTCAAGGACCCCACCCACACCCAGCACGGACTGTTTATACCCCTACCTTCTGGTCAGAGGCTCTGAAGTGTGAAATGCAGGACCTCTAGACTGAAAAACTCTTTCTTTCTGACTGCCATTGGACTCCTAAACAGCTGACTCGGGATCTACCTCATGTAATTCCATCTGTACCATTTACATACTCATTTTGCACATGCATAAGTGTACACTCAATATTGAATATTTGCACTCCATGGCTCCCACGTAGCATATATTCTCTCTGAATTATATTGTGTTCTTGTTGAATTTTCTTTGCTTCCTTCACTTCCTGCTTTAAAGTGCCTTAGATTTGTGATTTTACTGCCTATTTAGATTTGTGTTATTGCTCATTACCTTATATTTCACTTGTATTGTTGTGGCATTCATGTGGACAGCAAAGTAAGAATTTTATTGTACAGGGAAACATGTTTCCTAACTGTGCCTATGACAAATAAACCCTTTGACCTTTAACTGTTTGATCACCTCACCATCTAAGATAATGAGAGTAAATGGTAATGCTTCAGATTTTAACCTAATCTATATATATACATTATATCTGCTTTTAAGTAGTTTGTAACGGCATCACATTTCATTATTTGTGTCATTTCATATGTTTTCTTTAAAAGTACAAGGTAAATTATAGCTCTCAGGTAGTGTAGTAAAAGTACAATATTTTCAATATTTCCTTCTCAAAAAGAGTAAAGTTTTAAGCAGCAGATAATGCAGTGTACTTGAGCAAATGTACAGTTGAATTGTTAGAACTAATGCATTAGTTTGCAAGCTACTTTTTAATATGGTAGCTGCCTAGAAGAAAGCTATCATCTTCAATTTAGTTTCTATATTCATTTACTGTATATCCATTATTAATCTTATGTTGTTTATTGATCTTCCTTTTAAAAAGCCAGATTGTGTTTCTGCGATAAAATCTGAGATCCCTGTTTGAAGCCAGGTAGTAAAAATATGTATATACAAGACGTCTGTAGTCAGAGTTTCTAAGAGTGATAGGCCTTCTGTTTTCTATGACTATAGGGTCTTTGTTGGGTTTCAGGATTAATATAATAATCCCCTGCATCAGTGTAGGTGGAAGTATACCAGTCTGTGCCCGTCTATTTTACCAAGTAAAACTAAAGATATGATAAATCAAACTTAATTTAAAAATCATTTTTATACATGCGTAACAATACATTCAATTGCATGGGGCTTTCGTCGCATTTATTGATTTTCATAATTTTTTGTTATATTTGGAAACAGGCAAAAAATGTACAAATCTGTGGACTCTGCTCTATAGGTAGAGTCACATAAGAACTTTGTTATTGAACTTGTGTCCCAGCTGTGTGGAGTGTAGCAGAATGGAGCCCCCACCAAAAGCAGTACTGCTCATGTTCCTGTTGCCATTGACACAGACTCAGATGCAAGTAAGAACTGCCAACATCTGGTGGACTAAAGGGAACTTCACACTGTGGATGTGCAAGCCCTGTGGTGTAGCCCTCTGTGTAATAGTGGATGGAAACTGTTTTCAGTAATGGCACAAGTTCAAATACATGGAGGAGATGCGCGATGAGGCAGTACTTTGCTGTGCCTCTCGGTGGATCGTGTAATCCTCACAAACTGTATGCGATGCAAATAGTGTGTCGCTGTCCCTCTATATATTGTAAATAAAATGCTTTCAAACACACTGATTATATGCTCTGCCTTGCCATAATCTGGATAATGTATAAAATGTATTTCTGTAACGTGTTTAGGCTTGCAGATTAACCATAAAACCCAGTAAAAAAGTTACTCGGTGAGGCAAACAGTAGTGGAGGAGGAGGTACAAACCATGAACAGTGTTCATATACATGCCAAGAAGGTGTAGCTGTGTTGTTGTCACTGTAGAAACAATACTCTCACTATACTGTATGATGCACAGGAACAGGATGTGATAAAGAAAGTGGGGACAACGTATGAAATTTTGTCATATGAAAAATACAGGAGAAGTTTGACCACTGGAGGAAATTTGTGAGAGAATTGTGAAAAACAGGAATGTCCTGAGAAAATCCAGAGGGTTGGCAAGTATGGCTGCTGCCCTTCTACATCCCTGTCCAGCTCTCCTGGTGTAATGGCCACTCTCCTGGTATCTCCTCCATGCTCTTGAGACAGTGCTGGGAGACACAGCAAACCTTCTAGTGAATGTACATATGGATGTGCCATCTTGGAGTAAATGGACTTCCTGTGCAACCTGACTGGGCTGCAGGTACTGCCTCATGTTACCAGTAGTGACAAGGACACAATTGAAACAAAACCTGTGCACTGTTTGTTGCTGTTAATACTGCTTATTTTATTATATTACACAGCCTTATGCTGGTTTACTGTTTACTTGCCCCTTGCATGGGGATATGTACATGCACATTGAGAGCCGATGTACCAGACTCAAATTCTTCGTGTGTCTGACACACCTGGCCAATAAAGTTGATTCTGATTCTGATTCTGATTCTGAATCAGTCAAGAAGGCTCAGGAGAGAGCATTTGTCTGTGACCAACACAAGCAGAATCATTCCCTTTTGGGGGGTCTTCTTGTTTTTTCCTCTCCATTGTACTGAAGCAGGTGAAACTGATTCACAATCACTTGTTCCCTAAATGGCCAGATAGATATCCCTGAAGTTTAACTGACTTGTTGTTATACTGCGATGATCAAGTGTTCCCTTCATTTTTTTTTAGCAGTTTAGTTTTAGAGCTTATTCCTTTAATAAATGTCTAAATAGTTTGATGTGCATGAATGCCCTTCATTTCAGGCCACATCATGTCAGGTGTGTAGCTAAATCACTTAGTCTCCACTCTCATGGTCAAACACAGAAAAGACATTCATGTTTGTAACAGTTGTCACATGAGTAAGTCTCTAAACCTGTAATCTTTACTAAAAATGGGAAAATGACATCTCTCTTCAGATACAATCCAAAACAAGGTTTTATCAATAAATTTCAGTCAGTTATTTCAAAGAAATGAAAATAACACTTAAACAAAATTTATTGCAAACATGTATGCTTGTGTGCCCACTATACCTGTAAAATTGCTGTGGTCCCCCCAGTGAACAACACTGTAGAAAAGTGGTCTGAACTTAATTGTCTATATAAAGGAAGTTATGTTTAGAATGTTGAGGTACTTTGGAAATAGTCTTCATTTACTCCAGTTTATGGCCCAGTTAATCACAGTTATTTAATAATGAAATTTATGGCAACATAAAATGTTGGTTTATGTTGAATGTGTAAGTAAAAAAGTGGGTTAAACATCTATCTGATTTAATTATTTATTTGTTTGTTCTAACTCTCAAGTATTGATATTGGTCTCAGCCCCAGTGCTGGCTGGGCTTTAGGAAAGGCTACGTATTGTACATACATTGCCTATACATTCGGATGAATGACTGTATACTCTGAGTGAAAAGCTATACATGCCAGTTTCAACCTCTGCAAATTGATTTTCCTTGCAGCAATCAAGAAATAGTGTACTTTTATCACTTCACATTTTGAATAGGATGTAACCATGGGTGTAGTGTTGCCAGAGCATACCAGAATGAACTATTTGTTTTCTCCAAGAAAGGAAAAAGAATCATAATTTTATCATTGAAATTTATATAACATTACATTTTTGTGAGCACTTGAAGATCCAGTCATCAGCAAATTGTTTCTGTGCATTGACCTTTGGACTTCCCTCCCTGACCTCCCTTTTTTTGGATTCCTTGGCTGTGTGTGTTTGTTGGCATTGAACCTGGACTGTTATTGACCCCCATAGCATGGTGCTGCCACCGTGCTTCACTGTAGGGATGGTATTAGCCAGATGATGAGCAGTTCCTGGTGTTCTTAATGAACTTACCGGATAAATACAGATATAATCTATAATACTTTTTGTGAAAAAAAAAAAGTAAACAAGTATTTAAAATGGCTTTAATTCAATAACTTTAGCATGTTTGACCATGACATGCATACCAGTGGACATACCGAGGATCCCTCACTTCTCCGTGGATTACCATCTCCCTGGCAAGGACGTGAAGGCAATGCAAGGAGAGAAAGCAGAAGCCAGGCTGCAGGGCTGGAGCGTTAGCTAGGCCACGGAGGCAGCCACATAGACCACTGCTTCCCAGCCTTTTTCTGATAAACACCAGAGCACTTGTTAGTAAGAGGGGTGATTTGAGGCTACAGGTTGCAACCAATTACATGACAGACAGTTGAATTCTGCTGATCACACTCTGTGAGACTGTACTTTGACATAGTACTACTTTAAGATAAATTTAAATGTCAGTCTGTTAGCAGTGAAAATGCTGACATGCTAGATATGATTATGATTATAGCAGACATGATTAATGACATTATTTCGCATGTTAGCATGTTAACATTGACTAATTCTATCTAATAGGAATGTTGTTAGTTAAGGAGGCATTAGGTCCTAAGCCCAAGTATTGGACAGATTTCATCAACAAATCACAGATTTTAGTTTTTATTGCATTTTTGAAAATGTCTCAACTTTACTGGAAATTGAGCTTGTACTAATAAAAAAAGGTGATCCTTTATTTCGCCAGTTACACCAGTGTCATGTTGTGCAGTGTTGTCTAGCACTGTAGGTGCTTGCACTAGGGAAACTGACATCTTTTACATTTTGGGGACGGGACTTCATGGCAATCTGGCAGTCCCAAAGTGCCTCATCATTCTTGACTACATCCTGTTTAAAAGCTGTTTCAACTTGAGTTTAAAATGATCCCTACTGAGATCTCTGTGTAAGATGTTCTATGTAACGATCCCCGAACAGAGGGAGTAACTGATCCCAAGGTTTTATATAGGGCCATCTTACAAAATACTGATTGAAGGCTTTAGTGGTTTGAATATTGTTAGTATTGATTGTGAGCAAGAAATTGTGCAAAAAATATGTGTAAAAACTGTTCTCAACACAGAAAGGTAAACAGTCTCAGAGTTAATTATAGGCTTGCTTTTGCAGCCTTGGTCACCATGGAGAGATTATGACATTTAAAAGCCCCCACTCTGTCTACACAGGAGCAAGACACTCTCAGACTGAAAGACACAAAATAAACACAAACAGCACAGCTGTGTCTTTGTGGTCTTGTTACATCTGTCTGTAGTCATTTCGCGTCCCTTTCTGTTTGCTCTGTGTCCCTTCATAGTTATTTTGTGTCATTTTTGTAATCTTTGTGGTAACTTAGGGACAGATCATGCATGCAGATGGATTCTTTCCCAGGTGTATTTCAAGAGATGACAGAAGGCATACTGTGGATAACTGTGGTCTACCTACCCACCTACCCACCCACCCACAGAATTTTTGGCTTTGTAATTCACCACAATCAAACAATTTATGTTAAAATATTCAACAGATGTTTACAAAAACAACACAGCAGCACATTATTTGATGTCATACATCAATTTTATTCTTTGTTCAAAGTGAACACTCATATTCAGCTGTTTGAAAGCAGTTGAATGGTTTACATTTCTAAGGTTGTGTTTTTCCCTTTTGTGCTATGCAGTGCTGTAAAACGATTTTTCTGGATCACAGTGACATTACTGTAAAAAGAGTAAAGGTGTAAATGTGAGTAGTCTAATCTTTTGAAATCAGTTTCCCACATACTGTATGTACAGTAATGTGAAATGTTGTACTGTTGTAATTGATGCATGCCATACAGATAATGTATGTAGCTTTGTGTATTCTCAGTCACTGTCATCAAAACCCAAGCCATAGTTTTCATATGAAAATACCCATGATAGAAATATTTACATTTCACATTACACTGTTGTATTGACAGCATGACTAAACATTCTGACTGCCATGTTTATAAACAATGACACTGACTTGTCATTCTGATGCACTGACATGTTCACTGATATAAGTATTTACTTTTGAGAAATAAAGTAAGGATTTTGAGCAAGTGATGCACTTTTGCTGCTAATCCATTGTGTGATGCTGTTTGTACAAATTGAAGAAATTCTGTTATTGTTTTGCAAATATCAAGGATGTTTCAAGAAATGAAAAAAAGCAACTGAGAAAAACTGACTTTTAGTTAGGAATGTAAAATAATAATGAATAATGTGAAAAATGCTGACTTTTTGGAGTTTTCTGATGGGCTGGGCTAGGGGCATTTAGAGTCTGGATTTAATAAATCCTTACAATTTTAATTTTTTTTTTAATACAGCCTACTGTAGTTTCAAGTGCGCCTTAAGAGGACTTTTGCTTTGAAAGGCCAGGGCGGAAGTGTGCGTTTTAATGACTGGTCGTATCATATCAGCTGCTCCCACTGGTTTTCTGCTCCAGCTCAGAACAGGGCATCATAAAGCAGGACGGACTTCCAGGTTGAAGCTATCCGGTGCTTCACCGACACACGGAGGACGACAGACAGGCAGTCCTGTTACGCCTTTTAACATTAGACACTGGCAGTTCAGCCTTAGGTTCAACAAGCAGCCAAGAGAAATATATTTTATTTGTGGTTAAGGGCGACATATTTCAGCACCGTAACAGGCACTGATGGGATGTCTGGGAGCGGGATAAACATTTCCCGGTTGTTTAAATGCAGTCACAGGCCACCGGTATGCTAATTTGGCAGCGTTAATTTGGGACATACTGAAACAGAAGTGGAGGCAAAATGGGATTCCTGCACCAGCTCCATCTCCTGCTGTGGAAGAACATCTCTCTGAAGAGGAGGGGGCCGGTAAGAAGGGACATTTGTTCACATCACAGCCTATGAAAATCTTAATAAGGGAGAAGAGCAGTCGCGTTTGGCTTTGTCGGTTCAGCTCGCTCTGCTGCTGCATTGCAAGTGTTCATTCAGTGTCCATCAGACAGAATAACACCGCAGTGAGCTGAATAAACAGCGTTATGGTGATGTCCACACAGGTTTACTGCCACTGTGCTGTGGTGGGAAGCAGGAGTTCTCTGTATGTGCTCGCACTGTCATACAGGTTGTTGTTTGTGGATAAACAACAGTTGTGTAATCCCAGTCTATGCGGCCCACGTATGTAAGACCAGAATATGTTGTCATGAGGTAATCAAGTTTTTATTTAGCCATATCCGTAAGATGCAAAGAATGGGATAAACCTGAGTGATGTGGTATTCCAGGACAAGGTAATGTCGCAAAAGATTCCTGCTAATCTCAAAACATGTATGATCTCACCATTAAACTTCACCTTAAGCACCATCTGATACTTTGTGACTATAGTATTTAGGTTATTAACAGATAGGTTTTAGAATGAATTGCCATGTGACAGCATATTAAATATTTCTGGAATATTCCATTGACTCAGTATCGCATCTCCATAAAGTTGTGGGATTTGTAAGAGACAGACATTTTAAGAAATGGTCCACATTAAAGCAAAATATCCTGAGATTTAGTCCCTAATACATATGTGTCAAGCTCCAAAAACACAGGATCCTACCCATTTACCATAAATCCAATTTGGCATTATCTTTTCATTATCCATGTCTAGTGGACAACTTTGAACTTCACACACATGCTGTAGTATGAAACATACTGATATGATAAAACATTGTTTCCTTTATCGGTGCTATTTGCAACAAAGAACCAGAAATTATGTCTGACCCACATATTGATTTAAAATATGTTGTTTAAATTTCATTTTATTGTAGCGCCCTGCAAAGCGCATATATTTGCTCAGAGCCTCCGTGACCTGCTCTGTTTCTCTATGTCAGACATACAAACGCATGACAACGAACCATCTGTGAACAGCTCGTCCTGTCCGTGTTGGTTTTTTTAATGCAACGCTTTCAATCGCAGAGATCCAACTCTTCTAATATGTTATTATCAAGCTATTAAGGCTGGCTAAGCTAATGTTAGAAAACAGGTGTTGCTGAGGTCAGCATGCTGGATGTATTATATGGACTGTTCTGCAAGTGGATAAAGTTAATGCTAGTTTATAAACTCTGATGTTGAATATTTGCCCCTCAGCACAGAGGAATAATGAAGAACATGCAGGAAAGCTGATCAGTCCGATCAGCATGATTAGTGATGCAATTGATTTCATTCTGAATATGTACTGTTGCTGCTGAATCAGCAAGAGGAGGTCAGGAAGAGAGAGACGTACTCTAGTAGAGGAGGGCAGCAGCCAACATGCTGCTGTTGTGGGAGAGCCAGCTAGTGCAGGAGGAACAGGTCAGATGAACAGCACAAAGGTAACCTACTATAATATTACTAGATTTAATTTTAAAATTTAATTATGAAAGAGTGACCCGACTTGGTTGGAAAAAACTCTTCCAACAGGAGAAACACTATAATCCTCTGTGTGCCTCAGGTAGCTCTAACCAATCAGCATAGCAATCCAGGTTACAGATAAATAGTGAACAATTTTTGGGTGGAACGTATACTTTCTCAGCTGTAATAGTGGACGCATCCACATTCTACAAGTCTCAGCAAGTTCCAGTTAAGGTAAGCAAAATATTTAATTTTGTTTTGGATTGGTATATTGTATGTAGATAAGTTACAAAATCTTAACGTTTTGGCTGTGTTGCATCCTAATGTTTAGCCTGGCCATGTTTTCCAGACACAAATGCCCTCCTCACACACCAGAAAAAGAAAACAGAGGACATCTGCAGCCTCTATGATGCCACCTAAGTGGAATGAGACTGGTGAAAAAGAAAGCAGTAAGTTTGAGTTATGCACACAGAGCTTTTTGTAGGCCCTATTATGATTATGCAATATAATAGCCTTTGTTGGCTACATAAATGACTACTAGGTTACTTTGTGTTCTTTTCTCAGGCTTCCACCATCTCACTGAAGAAGGGGTCAGTGCAGTCTCACCCTGGATCGTCGTTCTATGTTGAATCAGAATCAGAATCTGCCTTATTGGCCAGGTGTGTCGGACACACAAGGAAGATAGATAGAAGCCCGTGTAGCCTGGAGAACTTCTAGTCCTCCAGCACCACAGCAGCAGCTCCCCCTCGCCCCATCTGTGGGCATCAGCTTTTTAGTACAGAAGACCCAGTGACCATCTCTCTGGAACTACAAGCTGCCACCCCAGCCTGCTCCAGCATCACTAGGCCAGTGCAAAGTCCACCGCTGCCAGATGTGTCTGTTGAATGAGAAGACACATTCTACAGAGACTGTTTTGTGCAGCACAGATCTCTATGCAGCCAGTGTGTTCATGGTGCCGTCACAATTTGAGATCTACCAGAGCTGGGTGAAACAAATGAACTGGAGTTGGATGAAAATTGGAATTTCCCCAAAGGTTGAAAGACAAGGTCCATGATTATGTCACTCAACAATTCCCTGACCTGACTGGGGAACAATGGCTCCGAATCAGAAGCAGGATAAATGAGATACGAGGAGCCCCCGTAAAGTCGACCTTGAAAAGCCACGGGCTGGATATGGCACATTTTGATCAACTGTTGGTTAGTGACATTTTTCACAATGTGCAAAGAAACTGTTGTTTTTACACATTAATCATTCTGTTGTCTGTTTACACGATGTTGGCTGTTTTTTTTGATGACTAAGGTTTTTACAAAGGAATTTATTTGGTTTATTTTGGGCTCAATAAGCTGACTATGATCAAAAGGAAAAAAGAGAAGGAATTTATTAGACTACATTTTGATCTAATAAAGCTAACCTTCTAAGAATTTTGGTTGGTTCAGTGGCCAGGCGATTCTCCTCATTTGTTCCTAGTTGGTGTTCAAGGTCAAGGTCAAAGTTTTTATTTGTCTTATACACAGTTAGGAAATGTGTTTCCCTGTACAATGAAATTCTTACTTTGCCATCCACATGAATGCCACAAAATACAAATGAAATATATAAAGTCTAAGGCACCTTAAATAAAAATACAAGAACACAATATAATGCAGAGAAAAAAAAATATATATATATATATGTACTGTTTTGCTGAAAATATTGGTGTGTGATAATGCAGTTATCTTTAAAACATTGCAGCAGCAGTGAAATATATTAGATTGGCCCGTTTATAGATCTCTGGTTGTAACCTCAGTCTGAGCCAGTAACAATGATTTTGGTGATTTGCAGTTGGAAAAGCATCAAAGTTAAAATAGCCACATATTTTTAGATTTAGTTGCATTTCACATTTTTGCTTAGTTTTATTTAGTAGACATTTAAAAACCTGTAGAGAATTTAAACAACCATGGAATGCTGTTAAAATAAGATTAGATGCTAACTAAACAGTAATGCTGTAATCAGGGGGGGAATTATTTTTAGGGGAGTCCTTTTACAGCCACCTGGCCATTTATAACATTTATGTTAACAAGGCTAGTAACAGTACATCAGATTATTATGGACTTATAGCTGCTGCACCACAATAAATTACACAGAACCCCTCGAGAATGTGTTGTTAATATAGTCAAACCACAGGAGTGTTCACATTTTCAGAATGAGACAGAGACTAACTAAAAGGATATCCAAGACCCAGTCTAACCCTTTGTTCATGCAGAATAGCCTATTTACAAGACGAGACAGCCACAAGTGTGAATGCTCATCTGTCTCCATGTTTTGGGCCATTAGCCCCAGATTCCATTCGAAAATCCCCTGATTCATTTATTTGTTGAGCTGGAGAAACTGTATAATTTGTGAAACACTGTAATAATCATGCTTTCTCAACATTACATTTGACCCTACAGTCGGAAATCATCAAAGTAGCTACACATTTTTTAAGAGATTCTTGCTCAATTTTATTTACAGTTTTAAATTTAGTGAGTTTAAACAGTCACTGAATACTGTTAAAACAGTTTAAGATTAGGCTATATGCAAACTTTTAAAATGAAATTAGTCCAAGTTTTATAATGTTCAGTACTTTTTCTCAATTTCTTTTAAATTTTTGATTTTTTTTTTTGAGTATTTTTTTATTTATCATGTCTCATAGTTTAGTTTGAGCAAAAGTTAAAAGTATCTTCAAATTCAACGTTAGAGCAGAACTCAGAGAACCGAACTATAGCCTCTGGTGTAACGCCACTGTGGTCTGCATCATTGTTATACTGGCCACTAAGCTCTAACCCACTTCTGTTAGTGTAGAAAAATGCAGCGCTTCATTTATTCAAGAATTAGTGGTAAGTTGCATCAGAATCTAATAACCAAATATATTTCACTACAAAACATCTCCATTTGCAGTTTAGTTGCACAGGTTATATAAGAATGTAATTTTTAGATGAGAGAGTGTCTTTTTGGACAAGACTGGCCCTGAAATGTGGGAAAAAAGGTTCTATTCAGGAGAGCATAAAAGATTAACAGAGCCTGAGGGCGACTGTCTCTTTTTTATAGTATAAAGTTGAAAACCTTGATTTAACAATGAAAACAATGTAGACATAATCCAGTAATTGCCAGTGGCTTGATGTCTCAAAAGGTCTGAGCATGTAAGCCAGGGGTGTCCAAACATTAATGCTTGATTTCTTTCTCAATGACAGAAAGGTCTTGGAAGCGCTGACTGAATTCTGTCATAAGAGATGTTATCACAGACACACATTTCCCCCTTTTAGCACAAAGGTTGGCCTTTGGAAAAGCACATTTGATTTCAGACAGCATAGGGAAGTGCGCAATGCTGAAGTTCGGTAGTTGTGTCTCAAAGAGACGAAGCTTCGCACAGAATGCTTTCATGTGTGCATAAAGATGTGGTACAAGCTGCTCTTTGCCTTGCAGGCTCTTGTTCAGTGTGTTAAGATGATCAGTACAATCAACTAGAAATGCCAGGTCTGCCAACCATAGAGGGTCCATCAGTTCATGAAGAGGTCAGTCCTTCTCTTTCAAAAACGTGTCAATTTCTGATCTCAGGCACTTCAGCACGGAGCCGCAACTAAGCCATCAGAATGATATAGGACGGCCCCATATTCAGCATCGACATCAGATACAGCTTGAAATTCTTTGTGGTAGAACTCTTGTGCTCGAATTATGTTGACGGTTTTCACAACTGTTCATCACATCATCAAGCTGGACTGTCTTGGCACAGAAGGCTTTTGGTGAATGATACAGTGCATTTTAACAGCCTCACCTCCACTCTTTCACAACTTGGTGCACACCATAGAAGCCATTGCTTTGCGCTCACCTGTCATAGCTAGAGCCCCATCCATTGTAACTCCACACAGCCTGTCCCATTTAAGTTCCATATTGTCAATTGCATCTGAAACGGCTTCAAAAATGTCCTTACCCATTGTTGTGCCCTTTAGACTCCTAAAATCAAGCAGCTCCTCTGTAATGCAAAAATTATCGTCAACTCCCCACAAAAAATTAACTGCTGTGCGGTGTCTGTTGGTATCTGTGCTTTCATCGTATGCAGTTGAGAAAAAATCAAAAGCACAAGCTTTATGTGACACAGTAAATTACAAGTCATCGATTCCTCACACAATTGTGTTTCTGGACATGCTCACATTGTTGAATTCCTGCATATTTTCTGGGCACATTATTCCTGTGACTTTAGTGAGGCACTGTTTAATGAAGTCATCATTTGAGAAAGGTTTTCCGTGTTGTGCTATGAGTTGAGCTACCTCGTAGCTGGCTGTTGTAGCATTTTCTTGTGTTTTGTCAGCACGGAAAAAGTACTGTTGTTGAGCTAGCTGCTATTTGCTTAACTGTCTCTTCTCAGCACCAATGTAGGACGTGTGTTTGGTTTCATATTGTCGTCATACATTATACTCTTTCATCACTGCAATAATTTCATTGCAAATCCAAGAGACACACTTCCCCTAGATTCCTTTGAAGAAATATTCATTTTCCCACCGTGTCTGAAATTTTCTGCATTCACTTGCTATCTTGCATTTCTTTGGTTCTGCCATTTTTGGTCATCTGTGGAAAATTTTTTCATTTTGTTTTGTGGAGAAGCTGGCTTGTTGAAGATATTATACACCTAGTGTTGAAAATAAGAACTACAATACAGTCAAGCGCAAGTTTCATGTGTGGGCCATATTCCATTATATTTTTAGAATTTGCTGCAGGCCAATTAAAAATGGACCACGGGCCGCACTTGGCCCGCGGGCCATAGTTTGGACACCCCTGAAGTAAGCATAACGAAATAGTAGTTATTACTGTGACAGACATGGATACTGATTAATATGTAGGAAGCCTCAGTTTGGTCCGGCGGTCCAAATATATTCATCCACCAGCAGCTCTGGACATTAACAGAAGGATCAAATTATCAGTCGGCCTCTGCAGCAAACTATAACAAACACTGCTCTACCTGGTGGATATATGCAACACCGCAGGCGGCTTGCACACACGGTGCTTATGGGCATTAACAAGGTGGTGCTGCGGTCACTGTGTCATCGTGGGGGATACACATTAAGAACAGGGGCCACGCATGAATCAGGCATGGTTCCACCATGGTCCAGCCTGCAATTTAATACTGCATCTGTAAAATTCTACAAAACAGTACACCTGTATGACCTTTCAGTTTCCTTTTTACGGTACTTTATGAACTTCATTACTGAGCTTGCAACGGCCGATGTTTGACTGAAAAGTGTTGGATGACAGATGCATTCTGGGTTGGGGTTGGACATGCTTCAGGCTTGTGGTGTGAGCGGTACCAGAGCGAAATTGGAGCAGGACAAAGGGTGACGCTCCCTCCTTTTTAAAAAAAGCCACCTAGCGCTCTGTCCAAAATCTGCCCACTTCCGCTTCCCACTCATTCACACTCTGCGCTGCTCACATGCTCTGTTTCAGATAAGCAAGACTATAAAGAACCCATGACATGCATTTCCTTGTTTTCTCACTTATCTACAATGTTACTACAGTGAATTACCATCTTAAATGTGACCTAAAACTCAAAAAACAAGGTGTCCGTATGTTCTAGCACTTCTATGCAGAAGCAATTTGGTTTATTCATGTCTCACAAACTCTCACTCAGGAGACTTTTTTCTAACAAAATTAAGGATTTCCTTGAATGGTAATGACCTCCAGGCAGTTGCACGTTCATGCAGACTTGTGGGGTTGAGACAGCTATTTTTGCCCATCTACCTTGAGACATCAAATTTGGAGGAGGCATAAGAGGAGCCTCTGGTATGATAATAGTAAAAGTGGCATTGTTTCTGTCTGTGTGTATAATCACGCTGTCCTGGTTGTTGGCCCCAATAAAGCTGTTTTTAGGATTGATGATTAGAGCAGAATAATAGTGTAGTCAGCACTTA